GTGCCTATTAATTACCTAATTTGCATAACTAATTAATTTTTTGCTGTTGCACTGATGTCTAAAAACCACTCATTGGATTTCAATGAAACTTTTAAAGAGTATACCCATCACATTTCAATGAACCTAAGACTATGCACCATATTAGTTTTTGGTAAATATTTATGCTTCTTAATCATCTAATTAACATAATTAATACTGATATCTCAAGTATTGATCATCACATTTGAATAAAACTTGGTAAATAAATGCGCTAGGACAATAGACAGTCTGATTAATTTTGGGTTAAAATCTGTTCATATTAATTCTCTAATTAGTATAATAATTGATATTTTTTTGGTTCTATTAAATCACATTTCAATGAAACTTGGTACATTGTGCAAACCTTATTAGTTTTACACTTAAATCTGTTCATATTAGTTACCTTATTTGCATAATTAGTTTTCAGCTATTCCATCAATATCTCAAGTATAAGTTATTTTGAATTAATTTTTACTGTGTCTCCAAAACTCTCAGCACACGGGAGTTCTTTCTAAGCTTTCTTTGATTTGGATTAGTGCTACTAGCACTAACCACTCACACAATGTCCATTTCGACACATTTACATACCTCCATATCTGGAACACTAATGCAGATAATCTTCCAACCAGTGCTTGTAAAAAATATTTCTGATGACTTAATTCTTGTGTATTAGCATTTGAACATATTCAATAATATTTCCTAATGTTGGATTTCTTTTTAACCAGTGAACATGAAAATTTGACATCTGCTACACTTTCCAAGAACTGTTACCCACGGTACCATACTTTTTTAGTAACCGTGCCGTACTACTACTGCAAGCAATGCATTCATGTTTGTTTTTATTTGAAACTTCTGTCAGAATATACTTTCCGTTACAAAGAAAATAAAAAAAATAAATGCATATTACATTACATATACTTATTTTTTTTATCATATGTACAGTTTTTTTGTTTGACTGGGATGTGACGTTATCACTCTTCCCTGACACCTAAATTTGAGTTACGCCTATATTCAAGAGATTGTGTAGTGATTTAGTGATTGCAATATGTACATAAAAGAAACTGCACCCCGAAATTGAGCTGTTGATCCCAATTTTTAAATTGATACATTGTCATATAAACTGCGATTTATATTAGGACTTTAACGGTACACTAGCATCTTTACTTGACATGCTGAAAAAAATGTATGCCATGTAAGATAATGGTCTCTTTGAATAGAGTCCTGCTTATCATAGCTTCAAATTTCGTCCCTGTATGTATCGACAAAATAATTTATTCATAAATTTATCATACATTATTGCACGCATTTTTAATTGCCTTGCCTATATCGCAATGATTTACATGTTCTGCCACTGCAATCAAGATGGCAAATAGTTAAACAGAAAAGTCATTATTGTATATTTTTATTTATAGGCAAAAGACATATCATGTGTGCTGATAACATATGGATGAAAGAGATTGCTATTATTTTAGAAGATGAATTTAAATCCCAAGGTATGTAATAATAATTTACCTAAACTGGACACTCACTTCTGTACTCGTTCTACTCAGCGCACGAGGTACTTTGCTATAAAAATCACATTTGTCAAGGGTGTTTAGTTATCCTGAGCGCCCCTCGCACCAAACTGTTAAAATGGCAATTTTTGTTCACCATGTGCCAGTTAATTATAGGGAAAAAAAAACATTGTTTTATAAAACAAGTTGCATATTCATTGAATTTACACAGAGCTAAAACTTTTACAATGAAGAAACACAAATGTTCACAATTTATTATTCAGAATTTATGATGTAAAATTATTAGGGGCTGTGGGAAATCAGTTTTCATCATTATCTTTAAAACATTGACTAAGTTTGTAATATATTTTATTCTCAGGATACAACGTTCCTACTTGGGTGAGTCCAGATATTGGTATAAAATTCTTTGCTTTATTTGATAAAAATGTTCGCCTTGTTGTCTCAGCCTTAGGAAAGGTCACTGTATTTGATAATGCACGGGTAAGTGTACTCTTTTTTTTTTTTTTTTATACGGTATGAGGCCAGGTATCGATACCTCACAAATGTAGACTAGTATAAATAAATTGTATTAGTCGTGATGAAATCTGTACATATTAATTACCTAATTTGCATAATAGATATACAATTTTCAGCACTTGTATTGATCGATTCATTGTACAGTCAAATTCAGAGATATTTCAGCAGGCTTATAGTTTAATAGGCTAATCTTAAATTTTTAGTTAATTTTATATATCATTTTAATGCCTCTGATACCCCTTAGTTCACATGAGTTGTTTCTTTCATTTAGATGAGGGAGGTACTTGGTGTTCAGCCACGCAGCATAAAAGAAACTGTGATAGATATGAGCTACAGCATCATAGAGGGTGGTTTTGTACCCAAGAAATCTAAATATCATGGACCACCAAAAGTGGAAGTTAAACCAACAGAATCTTAAAATGGTGATGTATGAAGCTGACATGCATAGTAATGGGAAGAGACTTTGGGAAAAAAATTAATTATTATCATTTATATGGGCTGATAGTATCCATTTAAGCTGGCCAAAAGTTTGGCTCTATAAGGCCTAAACATGTTTTGCTTCTCATTCTAAAAAGTGCTTTTTTTAAACCATAACTTATACCAAGTTCAAAGTTTAACATCTACTGAATAATCATTAAAGGTTTATTTGGAGCAACAAAACATCCTCTTAAACATTTCTCCATTCTACTGTATGTGCCATACCAGTACGCAGAATTGAAAAAAAAAATGTGCGAGGCATAGTTTTCTAACTGACACACATGGTGGCGAGAAACAAAATCTTTTTGACTTGTGTATGCAAAGCACATAATGGGTATGTCCGTATGTCTGTTCCACGTGTATCTCAAGAATCTCTGTTCAGGATTAGTTAAAACTTGGTGTATAGGGGTAGATATTCTGGGGTAATACACACAGACCTGATTAGTTTCATTTGCATAATAATGAGCCCATTTTCAGCTTTTCCACTGATTTCTCAAGTAACGTTCAATATATTTCAATGAAACTTGGTAAACAGATGCATTTGAATAATGAACAGACATGGTTGGGTTATGGTATAAATCTGTGCTTATTAATTACTTAATTTGCAGGATACTTAGACAATTTGTAGCTGTCTGATTGATCTCAAAAATCATTTAACATATTTCAATGAAACTAGATATATACTGTAAAACATGTTGAAAAAGCGACATACTATTTTAGTGAATTGTGGTAAAATGACATAATAGCGAAATGTTGATTTGGCGAATCTCTCTTGTCTTTGTTGATTTTTCTGTTTTCACAATACTTGTCTGTCGCCTGCCAAAACAAATGCGCAGTTATCACCTCCATAAAAACAAAACTGTCAAGTGTAATAAGAAAGCGTTCCAGATTATTACGTTTTCTGTGTTGTTTACAAAGTGTGTGTGTGTGGAGAAAAAGACATTGTTTGGCCGCCATTTTGAATTTATAATGAAGTCATTAGCGACATCATAAATTAGCGAATCAGTTCTCTCGCTAAATACGCTAAAAAGACATGTTTTATAGTAGATGCATTAGGGAAAGCACAGACCTGAATATGGTGGAAATCTGTGCATATTAACTTCTTAATTTGCATGATAATTAGCTAATAATTAGATATTCCAGTAACTCATCAAGAACTGTTAAGACATTAATGAGGATTAAATGAAAACCATCGGTTCATATTAATAATAAAATTATCTTTTTCTGAATCATGTAATCAGTCTGAATGCTTTCTGGAATAATTTGGAAAACTTCCCATGACTAACATTAATATGCATTCTGTGATGGCATTGTGCTTTGAATATCACGAGTCTAACTTTGAGTTTTTTGTTGTACTTTTTTCGATTTTTGAACAAAATCTTGTTTCAGATGTACATGTACCAGCTGCTCTCAGATTTAGGAAATCCAAGTATGGTGGAGGGAGATTGCATTGTCATGACAATTGTGAATTTCTCCAATTTTAAATAAATACTCTCCTTTGTTTTCTGGTGTTTGAAGTATGACTAGTAACAATCACACCGGTGTTTATAACTTGATAAACTAACTTCCCAAATATATGAGCATTTGAGAAAAGATTTTCATTCAAAGTTGTAAGGCAACAACTGTAAAACATATTATCGACCAATCTATTGTCAAAAATTTGTTTTATTGTCCTAAACAAAAAAGTATATTGTCCTATGATTTAAAAAAATATTCACTCTATGAAAGAAAAACATAAAATTGAAGTTTGAAAAATGTTTTTTCATATACAATATATCAATAATTAATATCTACTACTACATTCCAAAATGTAATTTCACACTATCAAAAACATTCAAGTTAATCAATTTATTCATACTTTTAAAATAATTGAAAACGAACTCAAATTGCCAAATTTATATATTTACTGCTAGAAATAATTTTAATAAATGTGTTCAATAAATAGTTTAATCATGTGATAATTTTCAATTGTATGTTGCAGTCTGGATACTATTGACACAACAAAGGCATTCCCTTCATTTTTATTTTTATTTATAAATTTTAATGGGAGTTGAATCAAACCAGCCAATCAACAAGTGCAGTTCCTAATTACTTTGTTTGAAAATGTTATTCCTTCATGTAAACCAACAATGTATTTTACACGCATTGTGTACGTCGCTATGAGTCCCATATCGAACAGGACGCGGCACGACGACTGCCGCCCTTTAACCTCTCATTATTATTAATGTATGAATATTTATGAAAATGAAAGGAATGGAATGGAATGGGAGTGTCAATAATATCAATCATTTGAAATCTTTCAGGATTTCTATTGTCTCCATATTTTAGCTGCTGCTTATTTCATAAATGTAATTTTTTGTCAATTTATATGTGAATTAAACTATGTGAAAACAAGATATAGTAGAGCCATGCACTTATAATTTACATTGTGTATATCAGGTGATAAATGTGAATACTTTTTGTTATAAGTATGAGTATAATGTCCGACAACTGTAAATAATGTACATCGTTTAACTATCACTGCTAGAAATTAAAATTTTTGGATTTTTTGGCATTTATGAAGGTAAAATTTAATGAAAGTCACTGACTCGCGAAATTTGCAAAAAGAGTGAGGTGTTTGCTGTATTAAAAAATAGATGCAAAAGTAAAGCGCATAAATAAAGAAGGACACCAGCCTGAGACAAATATTGACGAACTCTTTCTCAAACAATTGCTATCGTACTCCATCTTTGAGGTTTTTATATAAGTAATAAATTCTCAAACTAACTCATTTTTATTTAGTATTTCAAAACATGTGGGTTTATCTCATGATTCATGACCATCTCGCGATTTATGCGACTTCATAATAGAATCTTCATTTTATATCAACCAATTGTATACCTTCATCTCACATAAATCTTACTTTCTATATTGTATAAAACAGCCGAGATGTGATTTATTGTGTGTTTTATTTAATAACTCGGCAAATTAAAAACAGAACATTTTAAACCACTTGGAAATCAAATATGAGACAATTTAGGATACAGTAAGTGAATCAAAATCTTAGTAAAAAAGAAAAAGGGGTCAATGTAATAACATTTTTAAGTTTTCTACAAGGCAACTATTTAAAGGAAAAAAATCAAAGTCAAAATAGATCACTGCTTATATAATTACAGTTTCAGTTTTATAAATGAGTCGTATACACAATACAAATTTTAAAATATTTTGTTTTCAGTGAGAGATATTTATATCAGTAATCGGTATTGGATTTATATTTACATTTCAATTGTTCTAAAGATAGATAACAATATATGAAATATCAATGTACCAAATATTGCAATTTTATTCACCACAAATAACGAATTACTACTTTTTGAAGCATCGTAAGTATAGCAAATTGAAGTTGAAAAGAATACAGCTGCATGGCAAAAATCCAAATTTGAGATTTGAAAAAACATTTACAAATATATTACATAGAATACAAGTAGATACTGTATTTACTCTATTAGAAGTGCAACTCTATTAAAGTACACATGAACCAAGCATTGCATTTACAACCGAACATGTATTATGCATATTTCAATTCACATCTCATAATAAAAAAAAACACTAATAAAACTCAATACATATGATTTCTTATTGTCAGAAAACAATGACAGCTAGTACAGTTCATGGACATACAAACAAAATGAGGAATTCAAAATAATATAAAATATAGGGACTAACAAAAGAAAAATTTTCATAGTTAAAATGTAATTTGGCCAATTTATGCATTTGTATAATTTTTATCCATGGTCATCCGAAAGATGTTAAACAATTCGTCATTGTCCACTCCTGCTATGACTCACACATGTCTATTGATCCCAATACAATAATAAAAATATATAAGCAGCAGCAGTTGTTGTTTTTGTTCAAAATTAACTTGAGGGTGAAATCCTGAAATAATTGTGCCAAGATCTTGTTTGTCGTATCTTAGCAATTAGTGTAAATGGCCATAACTTCACGAGAGACAATTATTCAGACATTTCGCTAGTCAGGGATTGTGAATTTTTATACCAGTGAAATTTTTGTCTGGCATCATACGACAAAAAAGTGCTGGTCACTTTAGTGAAATTTTGTTATCAAATGCAATAATATCCTGAAATTTCCTAGCAGTGAAAATTAAGCGGTTTACAACACAGTATAGCATGCAGCTTGAAAAATTATGAGCAACATGCTATACTCTGGATTCATGTTGTTGTTTATTTGTTATATCATTCGCCCATGAATCTTTTAAGCTTTCACCATTTTCTTACTACTCTCTGCTGCCTTTAACATGCTTGAGAATACTCCATTTGGCTTGTCAATCAGTGCAGCGGGAGTGTCAAATTCAGCCACCTACAAGGAAACGACAAATATTAAAATATGAAAAGCCAGCTAAAATAAAAAATATACATATCAAACATCATCCGAGCAGAACCAGTCTAATTTATCATTTAAATTTCCACTAAATTTAAATTCCTCTGTTGTATTTCCAAGATATAAACCTTGAATTTGAGGGGAAGGGACTCCTCTATAATTCTCTTATTTTGAGTAAAAAAGAGGTTCATATTTTTTTATATTTAAATCAACAAATTGCTGAAAAAGGGGGCTCTCTTCTGTATACTGGAATAATGGGCCCCACTTATGATAGTAGGTATATAAGCTCACCTCTCCGTCACTCATTACCAATATTCTATCACATGTTAACACTGTATTCAGTCTATGGGCAATTGTTAACATGGTGCAGTCCTCGAATGCCACTCTAATTGTCGTTTGGATCAAACTGTCTGTCTCAGTATCAATGGCAGCAGTAGCTTCATCCAACATCAGTACCTAATGTGCATATAAAAATGAATTACGATGTATATAGTATTACGATATGACAGTGTTGCTATCCTAACTAAATCTCCTGTAGAGTAGGGGGTACTGACTTCCTATACCAAAGTCATAGTTCAAACCATGCTTGGACAATTTGTTTAATAGTTGGAAAGTATTGGCATAATTTCAAATTTTGACAGCAAAACTGAGTTCAGAAGTGTCTAAAGCATGTGCAAGTTACAAATGTACATACACACAAACCAAAACTATGGTTATTCATGTATATGCTTATGAAAAAAAAACTGCGGCTATTAATAATAATAAAAAAATGTGGCAATAAAAAAATTAACATAGAGACCAAAGAGTGTGGAGTTACAGACACACAGACAAAATGGGTCACATGACCAAGAGTGGTAAAAAGGGTTAAAAATATTGGTAAATTAGTGGAAATGGGGGAAGACCAGTAAGATATTTAATGAAATACTCCAAAACATTTAAATCGTACTCACCTTACTGTTTCGCAGCAATGCTCTTGCCATACACATCAGTTGTCTTTCTCCCACTGAGAAGTTTTCTCCGTTTTCAACAACAGCGGCATCAAGTCCCCCATCCAAATTCTTTATCTGTATATTTCAGTATTACAAATAGAATAGTTGTTGAAAATAAATTTGTTCTAATTCAATTTGTCATTTTTCGAAATTTGAGCATTTGAAAACTTCTCAAACTTTGTTTACATGAATTAACAAATACTCAGTAACCAGTATGAGAAGATGTTGAAAGTTGAATTGATACTTACAGTCTTTTTCATGTAACATTTGTCCAATGCTTCCCAAATTAATTGATCAGTGTACACTTCAAAGGGATCCAGATTATACCTTTTAAGAAGAACATATCTTTTAGTCAGGGCAGTGAAAATTACTATCATATGTACTATCACTTGCGTATTGGTGGCTAAACTAAGGCATATTTTGATTATCAAGTATGTTTGCTTCAATTGGAGATGTGGTTCTCATGATCCAAATCTAGTAAATGTCAAGATGGAATCATGGTGACAAGTTCCACCACTGATTATTAGCAAAGGTCCTTAAACAGTGACATAAAATAAACATCCGCTCGGAGTGGCCAATCAATTAGTAGTTCAACCCGCATCAACCCGCATCAACCCCGGTTTAATAGAATTTATATATGTTTTTTGTCCAATAAACAAGTTTATCATGTGAAACAAAGAGGATGATACTTTATAAGGCCATTTTATTATTTGAATTCGAAAATTGTTTTATGCCAAATAATTTAAAAAAATTAATTGTGAACTAAGGCACTCACCTGACGGTACCGATGAAGAGCACGGGATCCTGTGGAATGATGGATAATTTCGATCGCAAGTCAAATAGACCGATGGAATGACAGTCGATACCATCAATTTCAATATTACCATCAACTGGGTCAACTAAACGGAAAAGTGCCACTCCTAGTGAGGATTTTCCTAATATTGAAAAAAAAAATAGATGAAAAAAAGAAATTTTAGAGAAAAACTTGAAAAGGGTAACTCCACAAAAATGTACAACTATAGAATTTGATGTACGTACCAGATCCTGTCCTTCCCACAATTCCTACTTTTTCTTGGGGTTTGAAATCTAGATTAACGCCTCGAAGAACAAGTGGTAGATTTTCCCTGTATCTCATCTTGAAATCATTGTATTTCACATTACCGAACTTCGGCCAACTAGCTGGTGGTCTTTTGTCTGGGATGATTGCAGGCGGCTCTTCGTAAAGTTCCTAAGAACGTCAAAAACATTAGGTGAACACAATGAGATTGCAGCTGTTCCGACAACTTAATTAAGAATGACTAAGAAATAATCGATGGTCATATTTATATAAATAAAATGCAATACTTACATCAACGTACTGTATAATTCGTTCTGCAGACGTGAATCTAGCCTCCACTTCAGCCATTAAACGCACTGTGATTTGGAATATACCTGCGTTCTGGAAAAAAATAATATGCATAATCAATTGAAAATAACAAAATCTATAAAGTGACATGACAAAAACGAACGCAAAACAATTGACCAGCAACCATTGACATATATACACAAGATATATATGAGAAAGGGAGAGAGAGAGATATGGGTCGTCTCAAGACATCCATCATAATAATTCCTGCTAAAAGTCTACACCAAACGTACTCTAAATAGCTTTCCGCGTAAAGTCTCACATTTTACTGTGACCGAGTAGTGTCAAGTGCGTATCGCTCACCTGAACAGCGAATGACAATGCTAGTCCAGCATATGCAGGGTCCATTTTTCCGTGGGTGAGACACACAAAAAATGCGGTCAAAACTGTAATGGCCATGGTTAACATGTCAAGTCGAATTGCAGCCCATCGCATACCAACATTGAACATGAGAAAGGGCATCGTGTTGTTGTCCATTAATACTTCAAATCTTAGAAGAGACAAAACAGAATATGTAGAGCATGTTTTCGAAAAAAGGCAGAATTTCAATCAATGAACTCATAAAATCTTGGTTACACAGTTAAATATCAAATCTTTGCATATATTAGTTTTAATGAATAGAGTATATATTCAAGGTTATATTAACTAGTCACTGAATGTCTTAAGTCATAATGATGCAACGATATATTCATGGTACTCATTATCGAATAGTCCATGACGCAATTATGGTTTATTTACTTGTCATTGAAGTCTTTTTCTTTCTCAAATGCGTGAATGGAAGATACACCGAGAGCAGCCGCCGAAATATGGGAGAACCATGGTGAACGGGTGACATTATCGAGTCTCTTCAGCTCTCGTACAGCAGTACGGAAGTAAATGTAGATGACGAAGAAGAGTACTACGAGCGGAATGAGACACAGGAAGAAAATCGGGAAGACGATACCAATTACAATCAATGCAAACGTGATTGCAAGAAGATTCTGTATCATGTTCTCTGCCATGAACGGTACTCGGACATCCACTGAGAAGACAGAAAAAAAAATCATTGGCAATTAATACACTATAAGTGGGAGCATTATGCATCGAGAACAAGATTATGCATATTTCATTTTGAGTTAGAAAATGCTCCGAGGCCGAGGTCGAACATACGACAATACAATATAACAAACTAAACAGTAATTTAAGATTGCAATGTTGCATTTCAACGCTTCATACAGTTATTGACGGGTAAAAACTATAGTGATATAATAAAAGCAACTTTACCTTCATCGAGATCTTTAGAAAACCTATTGATGATTCGGCCTGATGGAGTTGTATCAAAAAATTCCATTGGACTTTTAAATACTTTAACGAACACCACATCATGCATGTTGGTTGATGCTCTCAACGTTACCTAATAAATAATCATATTGCACAACACAAATTAAACTAAAATAGATAGCAATTTTTCAAGTATATGGTATAAAAGAAGTTTTGAGTCGTATTCGTCTTCCCCATAACATTTCCTCCGAGTAAACATGAAACGTTGGTTGCTGTTGGGTGTTTGTGCTGTTAAGTCAGTTACTTCATGCCCTCTGTCGGACGTTACACTTATCCAGCAACATCTGTTTCACCTAAATTCCTCCCATTGGTCAATGATCATGTTGGAATCTGACATTAGGGACAATAACAATTTAAGGCAACCATTACCCGGCCTGTGCATAATTCAATTGTCAGTCTTTAGGCAAATTGGATATTCAAGTGTCACACCTGATTTAATTTCAGGAATGGTTGACATCGGCATAGAGTAATGTTAATGTCTATTAGCTGTCTATTGCCGAGGATGTCTGCTCATCCGCACTTCAATCTGAGCATCGCAGTGTGTCGGTCTGGCCCATAACATTGATCTGAAAAGATCAGTCACACATTTCTGTTCGAATTGACTAACGAGTCTTCGCATTACACAATTTATTAACCACCAACACCTCGTAGTAGAAGTAAAATTATCAATATATTGTAATGCTAGTGTATCTTTTAATTTGTGAATGTAATTTTGAAATTTGTGTTCACTTTTTATCTTTCATAGTTATTACGTTTTTTTATTACTATGGTTTATACGATGAAGGCAAACATTAGAATAACAAAAGAAGAAAGTAAAATAGTGTTAATAAAAGTGCAACACTAGTAAAACAGATATATCTGGTGTCCCTGACTCTGACGTGTCTCTCTTCAGATATATGCTATTGAGCAGAGGTAGTTAACCTTTTCACCACCAGTTCCCTCTTTTCATAAAATAGTCCTGTTTATAGTCTGCATTTTCTTCAGACGATTGGGACAAAAAAAGCAAAATGTTGTGTAAAGGCTAAATATTGACCCACAACTTGTCTGTTGGCTTCAAAATCACAGTTCATTTCCAGAAATATTGAAGAATATAATAAAAAAGTGCACACAAATTTGAGCGAGAAAGTCATGTGGTGAAAAGGTTAATGGTATGCAAATATATACTCACTGTTACATAGGAATAGCTCTTCATAAATGCAATCATAAACAGGAAGATAACACTGACATTGTACACATATGCGAATCCATATACCTCTTCCTGACAAGCTGGATGGTCACACAGTGTTACTTCACCTGTGTCTGGATCGGTGACATTGTTTTCCTAAATAATATAACAAGACAGTAGTTAATTTACTATGAACGAAAAGTCAACCCAACCAACAGTGTTTTAGCTCAGTTTTGCAAACGAAATAGCATTATTGATAGTTCAAATGTAACAGTTTGTAATGGTAAGCTGATAACAATATTGCAAAACAGTGCAATAATGCAATTCTTCTGACCGGGTTGGATTGTTGTTCACAGTAATACTCCAAGCTATGGCGGATTACATTTTGAGAATGCTACCACTACCATTATATTGGAGAGTCATGGGCATATTAAATGTCTTACCCGAGATCCAACATCCAGCCATATACTTAGCCAAGTGGTGATAAAAGTCTGCACAGTAATTACAAAGATGAATAGCATAAAGGTCCAGAACATCGCACAGTAGCCGCCACCATATTTGGCATACCTTTTGTATGTACTACCCCCAATATCACCAGAACCTTTATCTTCTCTCTGGGTAAGTTTTCCTAAAAGTATTATTCATAAAATGATGAGCTGATTGAGCAGAGTAACACTCTGTATATGTGTACACAAATCAATTTTTATGCAATGAAATACACTTTTTACATGCATACACGCCCGGTAAAAACACCCTAGGCCTATACCCGGGGATGCCCTCAACTCGTTAAATGTCTAAAACAGAGGGGTGGGCTTATACTCGGGGAGGGGCTTATACTCGGGGAAGTACGGTATGTATCTTGAACTTACCGTCCATTCCCATCCCAAGATCACCATCATCAGTGTTGTCAGGTGACAGTCCGAATACTTCAGGAGCTTCTTCGCGCAGTGTACTGCTTGGGCTGCGTACATGTGAGTGATGACTTCCTGTTCGCCTACGACCTCCGCTAGAAGTACTAGATTGTGATGCGTTGCTCGGCGTACGTTTGTGCGTTGGAAATTCTTCCTCTGGTGGTGCTTCTTCCTCGTCTGTGTAATGGGTATGGATTAACACCGAGTACTCGCCCTTGGCTGCCATCAGCTCGGTATGTTTTCCACGCTCAACAATTTCTCCATCCTTCATTACCAGCACTGTATCACACTGGCTGAGGTACTGTAAACAATACACATACAATATATACAATTTACTTTTCAAAAGCTAGATTAATCGTCGGACCTATGATTACAACATGTGTAAAATATATTTTATATTTACACAAAAATTATAAATTATAAAGAACACTGTCCTGTAAACTACCTTTTACACTACCACTGAATTATTAAAGCGGGAGGGTCGTCACCTGCGCACGCGCGAGAATTGAGTCCCAAGCGACGCAACACACGCTAAAACGCAAAGGCTTATGGGTAGATGCTTGTTTGTAAACAGTGACACGCTATGGCCATCTGACGCATGCGCATGTGACGACTCCCCCGCTTTAACGTCATAAATGCTAGTACATACCTGCAGCTGATGAGTAACAAATACAATTGTTTTTCCCCTAAGCGCTCCACGAATTAGTTGTTTAAATAAATGTTTTCCGACATGGGCATCTACGGCACTGAGTGGATCGTCCAATAAGATAATATCTCGATCTGTATAAAAAGCTCTTGCTAGACTGACACGTTGTTTTTGGCCACCACTCACATTGAGACCTCTTTCACCAATCTGTGCACATAAATTGGGAAAGTACTAGCTTCATTAAAGTGCTCTTACATATACATCCAAATCACATATACATATTTACTAAGGTCGGCAAGGGACATTTTCGTAAGCTGTAACCAATTGTTATTATTTTCGTAATAATGTAATTTAAATAAATAAAAAACGTAAATTCGTAGACATGGGCAAGTTGTAAAATGTAATCAGCTATCTTATTCGTCCGTAATCTGTACAAAAATCTTATTTTTTGTAGGAGTACAAAGCATTTTTCCACATTAAATGTCGCAATTCGTACGAAATTTGCAATTTTGATTTGTAAACACAAATTATCAAATATATTATAAAAAAGTAAAATATAATTAGGAATTTGCTTTATCTGTAAAGTGTAAATACTTATTTTTACTGTAAATGGAACTTTTCATTTTATTCCCTGTAAAAACTTAAAATGCATTTTTTTATTTCCTGTAACAGCTATCACCCCTCCCTCTACCAAAGAGCTCGATGTATCATCTGTCAATTTCAACGCAGTATGACGTGAAGCGCATAGAATGACAAAATGTTGTGACTATAGGATGGATACTTAAAAGTAAGTAATTGTACACTTTCAATCTATTGTTTTATTAGTGAGGAATCGTCATGAAAATATAAATAAAAATGGCTGCCAACTAATTTTGTTCGAAATATATGATGTTCATCCAATATGATGATGATACAAAATTCAGACTCAAAATGGCTGCCGGACAGCCATATTTTGATCAAGTTGTTAAGAATATTATGTCCATATTAAAGTCCAAACTGGGACTGAATTACAAATCTCATACCTCAGTTTCTTCACCATTTGGCAGGATTGCCAAGTCAGGTTTTAAACAACATGACTCTAACGCTGTCTGGTATCTCTTCTTATTGTAGGGTTTTCCAAACAAAATATTGTCTTTAACAGTGCCGTTTAAAATCCAGGCCTGTTGAGTGGCAAGAGCAAAATTGCCATCCACTGCTAAGGAACCATGAATACATTCCATCTGGTTGATAATTGAGCTTACAAGAGAGGTTTTACCCACTCCAACGCCACCGCAAACACCAATCAGAGCGCCCTGAGTAGTGAATACATATTCTTTCTTTAGTTTCATATAATATAATATATTATTGATCTTTGTAATCCATTTATTTTTTTATAGTACAGTACTTCCATACTTGCTGAGTACTGAGATTATCATTAACAACTAAAGAGCAGTGGTCACCATGGTCGATGTGAGTCCCATGTTACGTATAGAACAAATAGTCTTGTACACAAAATTTCAACGTGAGATGTATAACCACTGTCGTTTAGTAGTTATCCATTGGAAAACTGTGGTAGGGTGTCTTGTTGTGTGTGAAATGAAGAAAAATTCACAACTCCATAAGGGGAAAATGAATAAATTGTCGTTTGGCATATGTGAATAAGATATTCCTCCAGATTTCAAATGGGAAGCCCCTAATGAAGACCCCCGCCCCAGCAGATTTTCTAGTGAAAAAGTTTCGGTTGCCGAAATAATCAACTCCGTTTCGGATCTCCATCTATCGTGCCTTACCTTGGGTAATACGAAATCTATGTTTCGAAGAACGACTTCGAACATCTCTTCTTCAGTTCTTTCATGTCGATGCTTAGCTCTTTCCTTTATCACTTCATCGTCATCTGTGATTTCTTCTTGTTTCTCCCAAGCAAATGTGCCGTTTATGATCTCAATCGCGTTGTTGGGGTTTTTAGGCTTCTTCCGACATGGCACATAGTCTGTCATTTCAAGAATGATCTAAAGAATGAATCAAATCATCAACATCAACATCAGCATTATCATCATCATCATCATATATGGTGCATAGATATAACGTGTCAATTGCATCATCCATTTAATATCTATAAATGTTAGATTGTAAAGCATTTACCTTCATTCTTATTACAGTTACAGAACACTCGGATAGACCCCTCACGGCGAATGGTGTAGTTGAGATAGTGTATCTCATAGCATTATAGAGTGCAACGATGGTAAACGCCTGTATGAAAAGCACATGTGTGATACTGAAGAAAAATATGTATTTTGCAATAAGAAATTTCAAAAAATTTTCAAATTGTACACATATGGTATAGTCATATAGATAGTATAGAGAACTAACCATCGAGGAGTCCATTACATTTCCAGTCAATATATATCCAGTGTTTGCAACAACTGCAGCTATGATACACACTAAAGGACTAATGGTTAGGTTGATACTAGCGATGAACGCCGCCTTAGTCAGGAATTTTCTCTCCATATCTCGAATGGCTACAAAGTAAACACAGAGAGACTATCAAAGTCTTGACCATTTTTTTGAGTGTTTACGTTTTGTAAGCATTCCAAAACGTACACATTTTCACATCTTCGAAATAACAGTTATCATCACAAAACTGAACCAATAAATAAGAATTCGGAGATATGGTGATGAATTAATCAGTAACAGTTTTCACCAGGAAAATATCAAGAAAGGAGCAAAATCTAAGATTTCTATAATAAATCTGAAATATTGAAAATATAGTGTAAATATATATAGAGATTGCAAGTCAACATTTTAACATGCCCGTAGACATGCAGTTTAACAACTTACATGCAATTGCCTTTGAAAACGACAGCTCCCAGGCATACATTTTAATCAGTTTGACGCAAATTATCATCTCGTTCATTTTACGTACTCGCAAATCCGTCACATCGATAGCGCATTTTCTGTAGTATGCCATCATCTTCGACAGTCCCACCTACAGAGAAACGCCGAGCCAATACACGGGTTTAGTAAAATTCATAGGAATACGTTGCAATGACGAATACAAAAATTAGAATATGAAATATGATTGCCTCTGTATATTTATGAAATAATTGTATTAAAACGGCTGTAACCACCGATCCTTTTCTCTATGTTTTTGTTTTTTGACATTTCCTATGTCATTAGTGCTAATTTGTAATGACCCCCACCGAAATATGGACACTGAAAACATATCAAATATGCTATGTACCGACGTTGTTTTTAAATCACTTGCAAGTGACAAAAAATGGCCTGCAGGGTTGTGTCAAGCGAATCTCAGAGATCTTGAGAGACTAGAGACTTAATGTGACATTAGCCTTGTGTAGGGTCACTTTGCCTAGCAATTGTGTCTTAAACAATATTTTGATAAGATTTGGTCATCTACATGTGATTATATTTAAACAAAAAAATCCACTATTTCCGTTTAAAGAATAGACGGATTGGTCATCTGTTACTACATTATTATCGGAAGAATTTTCAATAGCGCTGTATTACTACCAGTTGGCATAATTTCCCCTGTAGTATGGAATTCATTACCTGAACTGGATAAAATATAATGAATACAAGGCTTCCCATGAAACCCCAAATCCCCATATAGACAGTTGCTAATACGATGACACCAATACCGAGAAGCGGTCCGGCTACGACGAATGGTCCAAACTGACACGCATCAAAAATACGCTGACCATCATTGGCGCATAGATTCACGAACTAAGAAAACAAAACAATTTGATTAATTTCTTTGCATATGGTCAGCTATTGCTTAGATTTATTCAAATATTATTACCAAATTTGAACAGATCGTAGAGTATACAATACTACTACCACATTTACCTGGCCAATAGACTGGTCTTGAAGATTCCGCAAGCGAGTCAACTTCTTGAATATCAAAAAGAGACATGCCCCTCGAAGTCTTACGCCCGTCCTGAAGTTCAGAAACCATGCCCACCCGGTACACGTCCCGCGGAAGAGTTCTGTTATCATGATACATAATGTAAAAGTAAGTCCTAAATACCACTGTTTCTCATGATATTCAACGTAGTTCAGAATAATACTGACCATGACCGCCTGGAACGTAATACAACAAGAAGACTTTCATTATAGGAAACGCCAATATTTTGCTGTAACGATTATAATGAAAACAAATGAATATAATTAAACAGTGTCATGGTAATTGCATACACAGATTAACTTACATCTCCAAGATGACCAAAGTAAAATGCCATGGTAAGAACAACACAGGCCCAGAATATTCTAGTTTTCACAAACGCAAACATTTGTTTTCCAAGAGACGCCTGTTCAATTCCTTTATCTTTTACCTCCGCATACCATAGTCTCTCAATTCTTGAAAAAAACAAACAAAAATGACATCAATGACTATTGTTCATTTAAAGCCATGTGATAGAGTGTTTATATTTGAGTGAATATGTACCTGGATATCTGAGCATCAGCCGCATCGAACTCGGAAATTGGCCACATATTCTCCACTTGCAAGTCTTCTTTCCGTGACCGTACAATCAATGGGGTTTGCCATGTAAACCACAATGACGAAAATAGACCAGCATTGTCCATTGGACATTGGCTAAAGAAAAAGGGAGACATAGTTATGCCAAAATTCCATGAATATATATGTGGATATAATCCATTTAATGTCGTGTAATTCAATTATATGAAACAGAATACATACTACTTCTTCGTGAATCGAAACGGCCACAACATTGCAGCTGCTGTCCCGTATCTGTCCACGAAGCCCTTTTTCTTATAAGGTTCTGGTGGTTTTTCTTCGACTTTTTTTTCATGATGTGATTTTTTTTCTTGTTTCAAGGGTGGAGGGCTTTTGAACCCCAGATTGCCATCCCAGTCATCTTCGGGGAAATTGGCCTGTAAGACCTGGTTTTGCTTCGACATGATGTGCGCCCCCTAGAAGAATGAAAAAAAGAATAAATGTATTTACCAAACACGATGTTCTGCAAGTAAATGGTAAATAGTAACAATATTTTAGATTTGGTAAATATTAATGGAAAACTCCAATATGTTTAATATAAATTGTAAAACGTCTAGAGAATTGGACAACAGACGCACATTATTATACCCACTGTTGTATTCTAGCTATCCGATAATAGACCATTTTCCGTTCACTGCGAGAATCACGCGTTATGCGTGAAATCGAACGTAAAAACAGGACAAACAAAGGTCATAGCGTCGTAGTCGCGTCAAACATCGCGTGGGATTCGACAAACGGGAAAGTATTTCGGGGACATTTCCATGCTTAATAATGTGCTGTCCACATTTGATGATAGACAATTTCGATTAAGTAAGGGTATTCGGAAGCAATATTCCTCTGTCGAAGATCGGCCGGTCAATGTAAGCTACGAAATAAAGAAATTCTAGTTCAAAATCAAATCGTTCGATTTTTGCGGCAGACGTTCGACGCGCGTCATTCATGCATCTCGCGAGATCTCGCAATTGTACGGAAAATCACCTATTCACCCAATGACAGTGACACAACCCGTGATATAAAATCTTATTTGAAATACATCAGATACAAACAAATAGAGAAACAATATTAACACATATATTGAATTTAGATATCGTGACTATGTCAACAATGATGGCAGAGGTCACGCGACTCTTCAAAACCATTTGATAGGGACGTCAGAGGGTGGGATCTAGGTGAAAGGTGACTCTGTACAATAAGTCAACTCAAAATCTATAGCTCTTCGCCCTTATTTCAAATGAATGGATGTGGTTTGATGGAGTATCTCATTCAGTCAAACATTTCAATATAAGACACTTATCTAAATCGTGTTATTTCAAACAAATGTTTGCAGTCGGCTATATTTACTTTTAAAAAATTGGAATTCAGCCAGGTATATTAGTGGTACTGTGATTCTGTTTTTTACCTCTACCTCAGTTAACATTTTAAATGTAAAGTTTTCAAATGCAACCTGGGCAAATAGTGTCAATGGAAATGTCAACTGTTGCCCTTTCAGGCACGAGAAGACACATATTTTGGATTCAAACTTCACGTGTCTAGATGATCGTATATTTACGAGAAAAATATGGCGAATTAGGCAACTTTATACAGTGTGGTACACTGATCATAGATTATACATCTGTTATATTAATATAATTATTATAAATTTTATATAAATACTGCATTGTTATATTAAACGATAAGCTGTGGTAGTCATAAAGTAGCGTGGGCTTTGGCGGATAGATCTTTCTAGAATTTAGAATTGCGAATTAGGTTGACTGATGGTATCTTTATATGAATTGTTTTACATTTACATGACTGTACATACACAGCACGCATCAATTAAGTGTAACATGAAATAAACTTACCGTGCAACTGGATGTGAAATGTGTTTCAGTGTGATGTACGCAAGCTGGACACAACGATGTTATACCGTCCTGGGTGCAATCATCAATGGCTGAACCGTACTTCTAGTGTGTACTTTAAATACAAATCTTACCATCAATAAATTGTATGCATTTCTGAATAAATAGATACGAGTATGTCACAGACTCCCTAGGTGGGGCCATGTTTAATGTCTGAACCATTTCCAGTAAATAATATAACTAATATGTACCGTCAGTTTAGAGAAGTTTCGACACTATACTGAGGGGGCTCTGACCTTCTACCTAGTATTTATTTAACGCCTTTATCTGCTTTATCTCCTCACCTGCCGATTATTGTATATGAGAACGTTCGACCCTTGTACACAGTATGCCGCTACTGACAGTACACACATCATTGCAAACAAATTACATAGCTGAAATATCCATTAATCCCGAGAATGCAACACAATTGAAAAAAAAAGAAAAAAATCTAGTTTCTGTGCCTGATTATAATTACTGACTGTGTCGTCAATTCTTAGCTCGTAGCAAAACTAGAAATTGCGATAATATAGTAGTAAGGATGCTACGACCTTTATACACAGTAGTGGTACCTTTGCTACGGAGCGACGTCCGATTTATTTACATTCAGATTGGTGCTAGCTCGAAACAGAAGAAGACACGAGCTGTTTACAGTGGCCATAAATTGTCGGGAGAATAATATTACAGCCCTGGATAATAGGATATGATGCCTGTATGGAGATAATTAATGTAGTTTAGATTGCTAGCTATATTCAAAGTATTGAACGGACAGATAGAAGACGTGGACAAGGAAGAATTATGGCACGAATCTTCCATTACAGTTAATCCACACGAGGGGGCGGGGGGGGGTCTGTAAGACTTTGTGACAATAACCGTGCAATACACTCAATTCAATATTCTTTATTTTTTTAAGAAAGTGGTTTTTACATTAATCTCAAGTGTCGGATATTACTCAGTCATGGTTTATGTGTTACTATTAGGGAAATACTACTGGACAATCTAGAGGGAGATGGGTCGAAACACTATTCACATATTTGCTATTTTTTGTGCTACATTTTTCAGAATGATGTAATATCTTTACTATTTTTTGTATGTTTTATTTTTACAATTTTTCTGTCATTTTCCCTATACATGTAGATTGATATGTCACCTCACGTTTTTATGGTTTCAAGTTTCGATTGGACAACATTAAATATTCTATTTTGATTAATTTTATATACACGAACAATGGATTATTGTGCATACACAGTCAATTTAGTATGTGCAAAGTCGGCCATAGTCTATTCATTACATTCCATATTTGCGATAACAAGTCGGTGTACAAGATATCAAATAGTACGCCATCAAGAAGAAAAAAACAGCATCAGTACTTAGATTATGAACACTTCGTTAATTTTCCATTTAATTTTCACAATACCACTTATAACAAATTATAACATCTATATCATAGTGTCAGCACCGGTAATTGACTGATACACAATATATATATATTCAATGGCGCCAGCACCTAATACTTTGATGATGAACACCGTGTTTCATAACATCAGTTGCGCTTAATTTAATAATATTATCTGCAATTATTTGTAATGTGTTCTTGTTTGATCCATGTCTTCCATTTGCATGGAACATTCCAAGTTTTTATGTGATCATGCTTGAGTTTCATCTAATTGATATCACCGGGGTATTGAACAACGATGGACGAGGAACGCTAGCATGCTGTCTATATAATACTATATACTTCTAACCTGCAATTAGAACTTGATTGTAGGTACAAGGTTGGACTATATACCCAGCCGAGTACACGAGTACACGCCAGCTTGACCCCGGTACTTGACGGCACAATATAATTGTATCAGATTCAAATTTTAGAAATTCCATTTTTAGTGCATAAGTGGGACATGGGAGAGTTTACAGATGCTGGCAAAGTCAGTGCCATTGAAAATAGTTTACAGTATTTTAAAGAAAGGTGAAACTGCAAACAAAATGAGTGATGTTTTTGAATGAGATTATCAGCTGTTTGTGCATTTTTAAGCCAGTCGGGAAAACTTCAATTGTATACTAGTAGTTTATTTTTAGCACAGTTGCTCGTAAAGAGACTCCACCAATACAGATCATATAAAGAAATTTCACACAAAAATGAAATGATAGTATGTTGTGTTTTTTAATACAAATAATTATATTTACATTAAATTACTAAAAAAATGTCTATTTACCATATGGCTTTTCTGACTAGTTCCAACTAGATAATAAACCTTTGTTCCCAGGAATCATTCAATGGGGTTAAGAATATTGAATTACCATATTTTAATTGTAATCAGACTAGACACACTGTGTTACAGAATCTGCTCAGCACACGTCAAATATGACAGGCTATCAAAGACATGGTCATACTCAAGTTTTAATGCAAACTATACATGTATATTGTGCGATGAGCTCACATGGCCATGACATCCATTGGATATTTTAAACAACGTATCAACAATAAATCACTTTTAATTTGAAAGTAACTTCTAATATCTACCATAATTTGTGGACTGAGTTTACCACGCACATATGTATATATCTTGTAGGGAAATAAACAAGGGCAAGCTAGACACTGAAAAAAATCAAGAAAAATAAAAATGTATAGACAAGAAGCAGCAAAATATATTTGCCCTTTTGTGTTCATTGACTGCTGAGTGTGCACTTGGACATAGTTCAACGATATTTAGACAGAACGACAGTAAATTTGATTAACTGTGCCGAAAGGCCAATAATTGTTGAGATATTTGGCAAGGCAACTTTAAACTATATATTAGTATACTAAACTCTTAAACATTTTGCAGCCTCGATCTCGTCACAAATCACCGATATTGTGACAGCGAAACTTCACTCATAAATGTCTGGTAGAATAATCATCTACTGTAAGTTGCACCATTCAGTTAAAGATGTATTGCATTTCTTTAGCAGTTTAGCAGTTGAGTTGTTTTGACAAAAGTATATATTGAACTAAATTTTGGACACACCAACAAATGGTCATCTGGCACCATGATTATCAAAACTTTCACATATGTGTTTTACTGTGACTGAATATCCAGTCATAATTTACACGAAAACGCATTTGCTGCTCGTTTTCGCGTTTTACATAAGCCGATTTCAGATAGTGCATATAACACAGTTTTATAATACTTTACAATGTCAACTAGGAGCGAAATAATAAATCATGTAATGTCTCTACGAAAAAGATTAGTTTTTAGTTGTGACTTGAAATTAGGTAGAACAGTAAAGTCCAGATGTCTTGTCAGAATTCACTCCAGAGTTTAGTAGCTGTAACCCTTTCGTCGTAGTATTTAGTTCTTAAACAGGGTCTTCGGTTTAGAAAGTTTAGAAGAAGTTTAACACAAGATGAAGATGTATGTGGAGCAATAAGAACTGCAATGTAAGCAGGAGTAAGGTTGTTATAGGCTTTAAATGTTAGCAGTAATGTTTTGTATAAAACTCGTTTATGTACTAACCAATGAGGTTTATTATGCATAAGCGGGGTATTAAGTTGATTACGCTCACTAAATGTAACGAGTCTGGCGACAGAATTCAAGATATGTTGTTACAGTAGTGGTTCAAGCTGCGATGATGGTAACCCATACAGCAATGAGTTGCTATAGTCCGAACTTGATGTAACAAACGAGTGCATTAGCCAGTCAGTTGATTTTTGGATATTTGCGAATTTTCCAAATGTTGTAGATGCCGAAGTTAGCTGACTTGCAAATGTTTTCTGACGTGCAGTTTTAATTGTATACCGTTGGCAACTGAGAATATGGAAATGTCGGTGTTATCAATATGGGTGGTAGGAAGACCTGAATATCTGTTGAATTTGTAGCTCACATGAACATACTTCTGTTTTGGCAACATTAAGCATGAGTTTGTTTGTGAAGCCGCTGTACGGATATTTGTGATGCATTCCTTTAGTTTTGAGACATTATGTATTATGGTTTAATTGTGATATACAATAGAGTGTCATCTGCGTATGCTGTATGATTGGCTAGTTTGCCACCTAATCAAATATGTTTTGATTGGCATTGATCATAGCTTTAGTATCGAATGGTGTAGTTTATTCTGCAGGACTGGACAGTTCTACGCAGATGTTGACAACTTTCTCGCTGGTCCTTTACGACAGTGTGTGGAATGTGTTTCCTATTTACCAAAGGTGGAAAAAGTAAAACATGATTATAACACCGGTTGCCAAATATTGAGTGCCTTCGCTTTACACCCTTGAATGAACATGTAATGGGGACACCGTAATTCTGTGACCCAAATATACTAAGTAACTACAGGTATGATATAAAGTGTATACCAAATAGCTACAGACATGCTACTGACAACATGTTGCCGGCAGCATGTCTATGGGTGTATCTAGAAAACAAAGGCAGATCGCCAAGTCCACGGCGTTGCCAACGTCCTGTTTAGAGAATGTCTGAATCACAAATCAATTTTTACCACGTTTTTCCCTTTTTGCTCAAATAAAATATGCTATCAAAATCATTGTTTCTGAACTGAACATCAAGTAAAAACGGATGTCCATACAGCCCCCCCCCCCCCGATCTAAAATTATAGCAAAAAAATAATTGCAATACATGTACGGGTTAGAGTTCAACATGATCAGTCTGAACTCAACAAGTCAAGATCTATTGAACTTTAACTGACTTAGAAGTCAACTATTTGCTGTGTCGAGTTGATGTCTGTCAAAACATCAAAATGTATTGACAGGGATGTCACCTTTGAGATGACTAAACCTGGAATTGTAGCGAATTCCGGATTTATTTGTTCATTAAATAATGCAAAGTGTATTTTTAAGTCGGGAGTATTTTCTGGAATTCGACACCCTACTACGTCAAAGGCTTTGCAACTTAATTTATTTTGATGTATCAATCTTCACCCACTGAAAAAAATGTAAATACATTTCCCCCAAAAAACAAACATATCTTCACGCGCTTCTGGTATCTGTCATAGCATTACAGACTTGTTATGATGATATTTCCTGAGATTCTGCAAAATACTCTTAGTATTGCGCTCCAGTAAGTAGCAACACTTATGTTAATCATTTAATTAGCACTGCTGATAAGGTGGGGATATTTTTTACGTTTTAAAGTAATACTTACCTTCTCAAAATGTCTTGCATTGGATAGTTTAGCTGAAAGTAGTAACACCCAGAGCTCATTTAAAGAAATCGAAATGTAATATTCGGCTAGGAGGTTCACATATACCTCGTATATGTGTGTATCACTGGCTTCTTATCTGTTTCGAAATAAAGGTCATCATGCTAGTATTGTAACAGTCTCCAATTAATATCCCCGCCTAGGACGTAGATCGCACGCCGGGAAAATGAATTACCACAGAATGAGTACACGTGTACTTGGAACGGGTGATTACAGATTGAATATCTTATGTCATGGCATGGCATGGCTAATCATTGGATTTTACACGGTGCAATCGAAGCATGGATAGACATAACGAAAATGATTTTAGCCCACATAATCAAGAAATATGTGTTGACACAGCATAACCACTGCACTAGTCCACTTCTACACAGTTCTTCTCTATAATATTGTAAACATTATTTTCCTTTATTTATTACAGTCGTTTAAACAAAACTTCAAACAAAATTATTGTTTGTTCATATTCATAAACTTCTGCAATTGGACATGTGATAGACAATCTATGATCACGTGGTGGTTACGGCATAAAACCACAAAAACGTGGTTACGTGCATGGATTTCACGGCCAAATTAAATTATGTTGCCCGACTATGTTAGTGTACTGTCGGCTTAAACGATTTGTTCATAATGCTAGTCGGTTGAATGGACGGACCACAATTCTGCATTGACATTGTTGAGTACGAGCGACAGGGATTAAATAGAATTGATAATTTGGTACGAATAGATAACTCGTGGTCACGTGATGGTTACCGTACATAACCACTCGTGGGTTATCTATTACTACTAGTGAATTTATAAACAATGTCCTGATTGTTATCAATTTTATAACATTGCAGACATACCATAGACTTAGTGATGTCGAAATGAAACACCGTCAACTAACCTGCAGCACAATCAGCTGGCATACACGTGATAATAATATAAACGCGACCAATTTACCGATTTTTACTATTTGGGGCCGACATCTAGACTAAATAAACCTATTTTTAAACTTGTTTATTTAGTTTTAAGCCGTACTCAAGAAGGCTGCCCCCATATAGTAAATATCGGTAAATTGATCCCGTTTATTTTATTATCACGTGTACGCCAGCTGACTGTGACCTGCTTGTTACAAGGTACAACTTGGTGTCATCATGTGGCAAGTCGATTATATATGTACTAAAGTAATAAACAACAATTACACAAGTGTACGAAGAGACAAAATTACGTTAGAAGTTTTTTTGTAACAGGTAAAAGTGGCATCACCGGTTCGAGCTACATTCTTTTTTTTCACGATGATGATCTTGTAAATTTGCGAGTGTTTTTATTAATATATTTTTTCAGTACACTCGACATAACAAACTGACAATGTAATAAGTAATTCAATTGGTATTATTTTATTGTGTGAACACAGCAATGACAACACGGTCCCGTGTGCATAGTTATATTTTCGTAATAAATAAAATTAAAATTATGTTAGGTAGTCTACATCTTCAAACTCCTTTTGACAAGTTTCCAAAATTGTTTTTTCCTCTGATGAATTGAACCATGAAGACAATTTAACCCGATAGTCATTGTCATACATCCATTGTCCTTGTTAGGTCCCAATAATTAAATAAAAACAATTGAGAACTAAAACAAAGAATGAGACACGAAAACAAAATTAAGAGAGTAAGCACAAGCAATGCTTTTTCTTCTGGACCTCTTCGAGACGTCAAAGGGCCCACCCTAAAATACTGGGCTTCCGTCAAGCACAATAAATATTACTATAGTTTTCTCCTTCATTGCCAGCTAAAACATCACACTATATAGATTTAACGACTAAGAGTTTGCACGAATTGCATTTATGCTTGTTTCTTTTTCATTTGCAATATAAAACCAAAGACATTGTCTTTGATAAAACTAACAACCCATTTCGGACTAAATTGTTCTATATACTGACACTAGTGATGTGACATTATATTGCATTCATTATAGTTTTTGTTTATTAAAAAAAAATGATTTAGTATCAAACTAGATAACTAAAACATTAGTTAAAACGTACGATTTCACATTCAGGTATATTGATAATTAAATAACACTTTGAACACCAGTCAACCTTTGTCACTATAAACAAAATTAAACAAATATAAAAAAAAGACCAGTAAGCAACGTGTAACTATGTCTGGTTTGGTTACTTAATTCTAATAAAATCAGAAAATCGCTCACCAAGATTGTGGCAGTTTTTCAAAGGATACAACTGAATCTAATTATCCGCTTCATTCTTGGATATTTAGTTTTTTATGTAATGCTAATTATTGCCAGAATACAATGGATTTAAATTTCACCAATTTACTCGGCCATATCCTTGAACATTTCATGGGGAATATTTGCCAATTTACCTGATACGCCATGCCCTGTATTATATATGAACGTAAATTTGAAAGCATAAAATGAGTGACGATTTCATACTGAAGCAGTCCTATATAGAAAAGACTGGCTCAACTTCGATTAAAGTAGCTAGGCTGAAAATAAGTTGATTGTTTGCAGATATGGCTGGTGACGTACTACAGAATGTTACTCATGATCTATGAGAAGCAGCCTCAAAGGCTCTTGAAATATTCTTTAATTGTTTACTTCCAGCCAAGAAAAGTGTCATTGTGACTTTTTTTGCTACCGTTGTCAAGATAATAAATACTATTATTATGAAGATTAAGGAATGCATGCATGAACAATAATTGCACTCATGATGGACAAATGCAGATAGAGACAATTAGGTAATCTTCATAGTCAATCAAACAGCAAGAATAACAGGATACGCCAAGTGATTGACATATGCGATAATTGTTAGCCTGAGATTTGTAAAAAAAAAATGACTAAACGTTGATATCGCCACAGATATAAAGAGCTTGTAGGTTAATATGAAAAATCTGTAACATAGATGATCTCAGATCAAAAATTTCATATTTCTATAATGATTATAATGCAAATTGATATATGACCTGTGTAAAATGTTCTCACTCTTTCCAAAACGTGACATTAAATATTGATTGATTACCTTTAGCTTTATCATTCGTTCAATGATTTGATTATGTATAACTGTACTTTTTAGGTTATTGTTTTGTTGTTTTTGTGCTTCTGGTTGTTTTCTACTTGAGATGCTATTTCTACTTGAAACCACACTTGTAAGATCAAGTTGATTTAATTTCCAGTAGGTACCCCAACTGCAGTGGTACTGGCAGAACAAGCAGGCCAAATAACCTCCTAGTGAATATATATTGATTTGATCTATCACTACTTTATTAATGGCGACCAACATGTGAAAGACAAGAGTATGATGCATTGTTGTGTAAACATTATTCCATCTTTCTAAGTAGAAACTAATTCCTTGTTCAAATAATTTACAATACACATTGCACTAAAATCACAGAATTTTTAATATAGTCAATATAATCAATATAAAATCAAAAATGCAACCTTTTTAATTAAAAAAATGAACTTAATCTTATAATATGTTATTTGGGATACCTGCATATTAATTTATTTTGAATTCTTTTAGTCCATTGTTACATGTAAATTATAATAAGTGTTTAAATCATGCTGTTTTATTAATTGACAAGCACAGATTCGCACTTTAATTATAGAAAGTCAAACATCAAAGTGTTTTCCCCAGATCAGCCAAACTTGTTATAAAATAATCTGGAACCATCTTTTGCCTTTCAATTGAATTGCTTTTTTGATTCTCTTTGGCATCAACCCTTGTATCAATACCAGTTTCGACCAGTAAAGTTTTCAGACCACATGTTCTTCCCATTGATATATCAGTTGATAAACGATCACCAATCATAACTGTCCGTTCAGGAGTTACTCCTTCAAAGCTGAAAGTATTGAGTGAAAAGAACTCGGCAAATGAGTATACCATGGTATTGATAAGAAAGCCTATAAACTGTTATCTTGTCCATGGTGTCAACAGGAATTTTAAGTCTCTCTATAGAGTCTCAAATTTTTCATATCTTGCAGAATGTGTGAGTCTCAGGTAAGTTTAATTTCAGTACTTTCATTAACATGCAGAACAATGCTGAAACAATTCTAATTTAAATCACACCTACCTTTGCATAATACTGTCAAAAAGATATTTACTGGGTTTTCCAAGAACTACAGGCTCTCGTTGAGCTGCTTGTTTCACAGCCCCCACAATAACACCTGTACCTGTAAGACACAGGTATTACAGATAAATATTACACAATCATTTTAAATGTAAGCCACTAAGAACACTGTCCATTTCATGAAACAGATGGTGTGAATATGCAGTGTTCCAAAAAAGGTATGTATGATCAAGCAAGTGAAAGGTAAAGATTCACCTCACATCCTCCAGAACATCCTTCAGGATATATGGAACAGTGAGACCAGCACCAGATGACTGGGAAAACAGGTATCATCATCAAACTACACAAGAAAGGGAACAACAATTGTTGCAATCCCCAAGGTTCAAATCAACAAAATGTAAACAAGTTATAAGAATAAACATAACCCCAAAGTTGAACTCCCATATTGTATTATATGCAGAACACCTTCCTTGATAATTATGAAAAATAAAAAAAAAACTTGGTTTGGCAACTAATCCTGAAATATATAGTAGCACTGCAGGTTGCCTGCACTGTCACCAAATCAAACATGTTTTTCATTGTTGTAATGGCCATTTTACCTTACTTATTTTAGGAGGGACTCCTGAATTTGATTTCAGGATTCTGTTGGATAACATTTCTCATGAAGTGTATACAATCTGAAGCTCTTATGATAAGAGGTTTTCTACAGATATGTAACTTAAAGAATAATCAATCTTTTACCTGGAATCATAATTTTTCCACCTAGTGGATATCGAAGATCTTCATTGGTTGCAACAAAGGCACATTCAGGATCATTGAGATACGTGCCAGCTTTAATTAGTTTAATATAACTAAGATGTTCATCAAAGCCCACTAGTACAGCCTTTACCTGCAAAGTCAATGTGATCACAAATAACTGATTAAAGTGAGCTATTGTCAAATCCTGTGTCATGAAATGTACCTATTATGGGTCTATACACCAAGCTCGGAAGATATCCCTTGGAGGTTTTCAGTAAAAATAGGCAATCAAATACTTTATTAAATTTCAAAATTCATTGAACAGCTTATTAAAGGAAGCATTCAGGGTTAATAAAAATAAATATGATTTCCCTAATAGAAATTTTGATACAAAAACTAATAAAAATCAGAAAAGAGATAAACTCTTCTAGAATCAGTCAAATTATCAGTAAGAGAAAATCTGACAATGTCCAGAAAGAGAAATAGTGGAACTGATAATGTGCACAGATCACTTTCCATCATGCTTGCATATATATTCACAGTACCTCATTTGTTAATAAGAAAAGTAGCATATATTCACAGTACCTTGTTTGTTAATGAAAAAAGTTGTATATATTCACAGTACCTCATTATCTATTGGTAAAGCTGCCCATTCCGCCATGTCAAGAGACTTTACAGGATCAGGCTAAAAATAAACAAACATCGTTATTATAATAAATATTTAAATAATTCATTATGATTTTTGTAGCATCATATACCCATTACTTAATCATATACCTATATATTGTATGCCCATTACTTACCCCAATACCAAAGTAAGGAATACCCATTAAATCCAGTTCTTCAGCCATTCCAATACTTCCAATTAGATACACTTTTCCATTCAATTTTAAGCTATGTTTTAAGTACGAGGCTGCAGCAAATGCAGTGCATATAATTTCTTCCTATTTGGTTTGAAAAAAAAAACAATCATGAGGTCCTCCACTGTCTGCTCCTATCAATGTACCTTAAAATTTCACCAGTCCTAACCCTTCACCACCAGACTTTCTCACTCAAATTTTTTCACACTTTTTTATATTTAACGCTAATTTGGGGGCCAACAGACAAAATTTGTGTAAATTTTTGGTTTTTACTCAAAAAATGTTCCAGTTTTTGTCCCAATATTTTGAAGGAAAGAGCAGACTATAAACAGGACTATGTTGTGATGAAAGTAGGAACTGGTGGGGAAAAGTTAATTAAAAGGTATATCAATACAAACGGTCATGATTTTACAAATGAGACAAATCACTCTTTTAAATTTTTTAAAATGGGTACTTGCTTTATTGGCCGAATGTTTGAAATAGTCATGCTTTTCAAGTTTTTACATTGTCGTCTAACCTCTGTGAAATGTTCACAGCCACAAAATTTGCAAAATTTATTAAAATTTTGTTCTAAAATAGACCTTTCAAAAATGCCAAATACTGTCATTTTTCACAAAAAATAATTTTTTCTTCCAAAATCTTTACTAAACTAGATTATAGTCATTTGGCCCAAAATTAACAAAGAAATGATAGAAAAATACGTGAAAATTTGCAAAAAAGTTTGACTAGAATTGTAGCAGAAAAAATTAGTGTTCAACGTGTTCTTGACACAATTACTAACATAAACAATATTGTTCACACAATTTAAACAAAACATACACTACTCATTTATATAATGACTTTAAGCTTAAAGTAGCTACCATTAAAACTTATTCTACGATTTTTTTAACTTTTACCATATGGCTTTATTTTATGGTGACAAATTTTATCTCATAAATCCAAATAAAAAAAGTATCTCATTTAATAGATTGAATGCAGGCGAAATTTTAAACTGTAACTTTCAAACTTGTTCTTGTATGAAAATAGAGAAATCACACTTACTACCCCCTGCAAGTGTTCTGAGAATGCACATAAATATCGTGATATGTAGCTCTATTATGATGCAATAAATGAATTGTCTAGAAGTTTTTTTTGTTAAAACAAATAAATTACCGGATAAGCTTCAAAACCCAGATTTAATAATTTCTCTATATACTGTTTTCTTGACTTGGTGCTGTTATTTGTAACAAAAAATATCCGTTTACCCTGATAGAAAAAAAAATCAGAATAATGTTCAATTAGACTAAATAGCATATGCAATAGTATAAGAAGATAATAATAAGAAATGATGAAATTTGTTTGCTTATTTAAAAAATGTGAAAAAACTGGCCTTATTTTGTATCAGGTTGTAAAACATATGGATGTGCACAAGTATTCCAAGATGTATGATGGGTGTGTGACTTTTGAACATACTAACCAGCAATGTTCAATATACAAAAGAAGACACACAAGGAATCAATCCCTGTTTACAGACTTTGTCCGAACAACCAATGTATTCTACATGCGCTATGTAAGGTGCAAGGGATGCGTAAAAGAATATGAGGCTATTACGAGGATACCTCAAAATATGCACGAAGACAGTACAGCGGGAGTATAGACCGACACGCAGCAGAGGTTGATGCGACGTCGTACTGTCTTTGTGCATACTTTGAGGTATTATTATTAAACATCTTTTCTTTCCAAGGATACATTATAGAAATGCCGAAATCCAAAATGTTTAGAACAGAATCAGTGAACTTCTTTGTGTGGCAGACATGTCTGTTTATTATTAGAGGACGCTTACGCGGGTAATAATTCCATATTTGGAATTCTCATTTCCTAATATGGTAGGATGAAAATACCCCATAAAATACTGCAAAATTACGGCACGCTGTAAGTTATGGTGTTGCGGTGACAGACGTATATTAATACACTGTAATAAGATCATATCATGAAATCTCACCTTAAGTCTCAACTTCTTTAGTGCTTCAGCTGCTCCAGGTATGGAATCATTGTTTTTCCAGATCACACCTGAATGTATCACAGATGGAAACGATTGTAAATAACATCTTCAAACAATCAGGTTTTTCAATGAGACTTGCAATCAAAGAGTACAGCCATTCCTTGTTTCTGAATGTGAGATAAATTCACTATGAAGGCCAATAGCTCAGTTTCAGTTTGTAATTTTCTTTACTCAACAAAACATCCTCATACACCTACCGGTACACTGAAATAGTGTCATTATTAACAAGAGAGCTACTTACATCACTTTAAATATACAGAAATTTAACTCTTACCCTGCCAGCCCATGTACTTTTACATTGACCTGACCAGATAAGGGCTAAGCCAATATTCCATAGTGGCAGTGATTGTCCTGATAAACTCTATTGTGTCAGTGTGTTGACAAGCATTTTAGGGCTTTATCTTTTACTATCAATACGACAAATCCATTCCCATGATAGCATATATAAATATTTATAAATTTCAATGGCAGTGCGCAATAATGTCATTTGAAAATGTTCTAATTTTATTCCAAGGCCAAAAAAACTTATTTCACTTTGGAATTCTAAAAATCAAGGAAATGGGCTTGGTGATCTGATAGTATATACTTGCACAAAAACTACATTTTTCTTCTTTAATGATACATTCCTTAAATAACAGGAACAGCCTGAATTGTTATAGAAGGTAAATAACACTGAATACATGGAAAAACATGTTCAGTGGCAAGATTCTTTGATTTGATCAACAAGAAATATATAAACAAAATTAAGCTAAAATTGCATTTCAGCTAATTTGCAAAAAAAAATCCATTGGGACTTGACGGCACCTCAAGTTCCAAATGAATATAAACAACTCTACTTTCACAGAGCTAGTTATTCTGTTCATTTATTGACAATATTTTATTAATTACCGGTACTAATAAATAGAAATAGACAGATCCTATATAAGGAGTTAACCATTGAAAACATGGGGGTGGCAGGAAGATTGTGGCCAGTGCAAATGTTTTGTTCAGTGTCTTATCTCTTATTTGTTTCCTACAAGACAATTTCTTTTTTCTCTAAGTGCTTAGCCTACACATTTTGTTTCGTCACCTCTCCCCCCCGTGATTCCAAACGGTCGACCCTTAATGCCCACTCTATACCACAAGTCGACCTCTAATATTGGGCTTCCATGGCATTTCTTTGCCTATCCGTGGTTTATAAACATTTACAATTTGCCTCTACTGACTTCTTTCTTATCCCGGCAATGTTATAATATTTATTAGACGCATAAAAGCCTTAGGAACGAATAAAAAGTGTCTTACAAACAAACATTTAAAAACTGCAAACAAAAAATGTGGAGTGAACATATGCGCTTCGGCTATTCAGTAAATGGCAAGTCAATGACATGAACGCCAAGTACCGTGAACCTATCTAAAATATATTATCGTCTGTATAACACAGATTCTTACCGTCACAATCACAAAGAATCGTGTCAACAGACGAAATGAAATCGTGAACCAAATTAGCCGTCAGCTCCTTGCAAGCAGCCATCTTGGATAACGCCCTCTAGTGATACCTACTGAATTACGGGCGGCGCTCTTCATGCATGTACCTCACACGCGAGAGTAAACAATCATTGTTATATGTAAAGTTCACTTGCCTAACTGTACCAGCAAATTTACCATTTTACTTAGAAAAAGTCTATGATCTAAATTACAATGCAAAACAATATACACAAATGTACTGATTTAGAGTGTAAACAATATTAACAATGATTTAAACCAACCACCATCACTGAAGAATTTTTTTTGTTTTCAAAATTCGGACGGACGTGAATATGGCATCCAATTAAGACCCGAGCCGATTTTCGCAATCAGATTCATATAAATCTGATAAAACTGATTAGACACGGCCGACTTTCCAAAAAACAATCAGACATCACATTATGTAGTTTACACTATTAAGTATATTCAATTTGGACTTTTTGAAATGTCAAATCAGACATTCGTTTCTGTGATTTACATAATCATATTTATTTTTTATTATTTAAAAAAAAATCGAGTTTTCAAAATGGTAAAAAATGCTATATTACTTTAACATTAATAAAGTACATGGGAATATAACATTTTTGTTTGTTTTGATTCAAGTTTGTTAATGCTGAGAAAACGTTCAGATGTGGAAAGATGAATTGGTCCCAGACTCGTATTTTTTTATTGATAAACATGACTATGACTAGACAATTGTCAAAAACATCGAATTAGTTACGTTCAAGGTCAAACATACTTAGAAAGAGCTGTTTTCGCGTTTTTTCTCGGTTTGAAAAACAGCGAATATGGACACTCAAGCCAATTGATCTGAGTTTTAGCGATAGACACCATGTAATTCTGTACTAGGATTTTCATTCTCTTTTTTGTAATCGATAGTGATCTTTTTCGAAGAAGCCAATTACGTTTATTGTTACCTATCGTTCCAACACATATCGTAATCAACACAAAATGAGTATGAATGTCGTCTAAAACGGTTCTAACCGTAAAACAAATCTGTCTTTACACAGCAACCACATATTCACATACCCAAAATCGTAATTTAAAGTCGATTTAGAAGACCAATGTTAAATTTCTGTCAAACTTCGCACTGCAGTGTTTTCCCCTTTCGCCAATTTATATTTGTAACTTATAAAATTACATTGTGCCTTTGGTTATCAAGACTTCGCACATAATCAATCAAAGAACAACGTTGGTTCAATTTAGACCCTATTAGGGCCATCGTTTAACGGAGATCTGGTTCCGTAATGGCCGAATATTCGATTTTGTTGACATTTCTCTTTGACATCTTTGTCAGACGATTCGCCTCTATTTATAATGCCCATTCACAAATTGGCGCCTAATTTCTATGACGACGCGC